ATTAAATACAGACATTGTCTCTAAATGTATAGCTTCTATATACCATTAAAAGAAACCAGAGATTCCTGAAGAAATGAGTGATTCCACATCAAAGGCAGAAGCTATAAAAGGTGATCCCTGAACTTCTTATTGTGTAAGAATGCAAAGGAGACACCAAAAATCAGTGTGGTTATGTCAACAGGACAGAAGAGCTAACATGGATTCCCAATGGTGCTGTGTGGGACATTTTCAGCATCAAATAATAATTTAAATGGATTAAAACCTATAAATATGTAAAAATCTTACATTTTAAATACTACTAAAATAAACCCTCACATTTGGAAAATGGTAGAGAACCAAATCAACATACTGGAAGAGGGAAAATAAAGGGAACAAATTAAGATCTTTCTTTTCTATCTAAACGCTTCCACAGGAAACTTTCTCTTCTTTGTAGACGTTTCTACCTAATTTAAAAGAAAAAAAAGGGCAGAGCTAGAATTCATTTATATTGGAACATCATCTATACTGAAGATAAAGTCAATAATCCTTAATGACTGCAGGACCTCTCAGGTTGATGGTGAACGTCATTATGCCTGGGTTCAGTGGTCAATATTGTACATTTGACATATGCAGAATCTACTGAAATACAATTATACTCAATAAAGCTGTTTAAAAAGCAAAGGTAATAATACTAAAAATTTGTCACTTCCTCATTATTTTACTATGTTTTACTAATATATATATATATAATAGAAGATCAGCGTAAAAGAGGAAGATGCTCAATGAGATAGACTAAGTAGCTGCAACAATGGACTCAAACATACCTACTATTGTAAGGATGCCATAGGACTGGGTAATGTATTATTCTGTTATACACAAAGTCACCGAGTTGGAACTGACTTGACAGCACCTAACAACAACAACATACTATATTATGCTAGAAATTGGCCTTGGTGGAGTATTTAAACCAGGGAAACTGACAATTGCTACAAACTAGGGCTTGTTTTATTGACTGTCTAGCCTTAAGAAATTGATGGAGAAGATGTTAATAATGCAGATTTAAAAGTATATACTCTCTGTGGCTGTTATATTACGAGTAGCACAAAACATGGAGGAAATATTCTTCAGAATTCAAAACTAATTACTGTATTTAGCAAAGAAGACACATCACTGAAGAATGAGTGATGTTCTAACATATGTCTTTGTTATATATATGTATTCTTATTTATTAGTGAAAAGGGAAATATTAGTCAACATCTATAAAAAAAAAGTAGACAAAATATATGAAGAAATATTTCACCAAAGAATAGGAAACAAACACATGAAAGAATTCTCAAGATCATAAATCATCAGAGCAATGCAATGAAAAGCACAGTGAGATGCCATTACATATCTATTGTTGCTGTTGCTAGCGGCCATCCACTAGGCCCCCAAATTATGGTTAAACCCACGCGCAATGGGATGGGACCATTATGATCACTGGGTTTTCATTGCCTGAATTTCAGATGTAGATCACTAGGCCTTTCTTCCTAGTCTGGAAGTGTCACTGAAACCCACTCCGCATCATAGTAACATGTAAGCCTCCACTGACAGGAATCAAACAGGGGTTTCTCACATGAAAGGTGAGAATTCGACCACTGTCCCCACACACCTATTAAAACAAGTAAAATTAAAAAACCTGACCAAATTATCAGCAAGAATGTGGAGGAAAAGGAAGTCTCGTATACAGTAGAAGTGCAAAAGGGTACAACCATTTCATAAGACAGTGCAGTTTCTTAATAAGCTAAACATTCCCCTATTCTGAGGCATTAAAACATATATCTATATATTGGGGTTTAATTGTATCCCCATATGGATATTTTGAAGTCCTAAACCCTAGTATCGATGAGCATGACTTTACTTGGAAATAGGACCTTTGCAAATGCAATCAAGTTGCAGTCATACTGGATTAGGGTGGGCATTAATAACTATGACTAGTGTCCTTAAAAGGAAATTTAAACAGAAAGAAGATGCCCATGTGACGATGGAGGCAAAAATTGGAGTGATGCAGCTGCAAGCCAAGGTATACAAAGGAATGTAAAGGATAGCTGGTAACCACTAGATGCTAAGAAGGGGCAAAGGATTCTTCCCTAGAGTCTTCAGAGGTAGCATGGCCTTTCTAATACCTTAATTTGGGTCTTCTGGCTTCCAAAAAGGAGCAATGGCGGTGCAACGATTAAGCGCTTGGCTGCTAACCGAAAGGTCCACCATTGGAACCCGTCCAATGGCTCTGAGGGAGAAAATACCCGGTGATCTACTCTCATAAAGATTATAGCCTAGGAAACCCTATGGGGCACTTGTACTCTGTCCTATGGGGTCACTATTAGTTGGAATTGACTCAATGGCACATAACATCAGCAACAGCCTCCAAAATTGTAAGAATAAATTTCTGTTGTTTTCAGTCACCTAGTTTGTGGTACATTGTTATAGCAGCCCTAGGAAACTAATACATCTATAAAATGTATTATTCACATTTAAGAAATGTGCACCTACGCTTGTAGCAGCTTCTTGTAACAATCAAAAACTGGAAACACAAATGTCCATTAACAGATGAATGAATAAACAAACAGTGGTATAGTAATAGACAGGTTACTACTCGGGAATAAAAACGAACTATTCACATAAGCAACGGTGATGAATTTCAAAATAATTATGCAGTGTGAAGAAAACCAGAGGGAGGGGAAAAAGAATAAACAGTGATTGCACTAATAAAATTTTTGAAAATGCACACTGATTTACTGTGAAAGAATGGAAATCATGTTTGCCTGAACAAAGGGTTGAGGAAGCCAGGGAAAGATTTTAAAATGGCAGAAGTTAAATATGAGGGTGATGGATATTTTCATGATCATGATTATGTCCGCTTCATGGGTGAATATTCTTGTCAAAACTTACCAATTTTCATCCTTTAAATATTTATAGTTTACTGCATGTAATTATATCATTGTAAAGCTTTTACAAATGTTTCAAAATAAATATCTGGCTCTCCCCAAATTTTCAGAAAACCAGAAGGTTTTGCAACCATATATTGGCTCTCCCATCTCTTTCCTCTTGACAGGAGAAAGGGAGCCATGCCTCAGTGGCAGGAAATACGGGTGAGCAGTGAAGACCATTTCCATCTGAGACAACAAGCACCCTGGCTGGCTCACAGAACCACATCCCTGACTGCAGGATCTTTCTCTTCATCCTTGTTTTCCTGCCTGCACAATAATGGACTTGCAGTCAACAACCCAAAGAGGACACAGGAATCCAAAAAACCTTTGCTCTGACAATGACCACAGCCACAGGACATATGTGGTCTGGAGGTCCTGAGAATGTCTGTCCATAGGCATCCTGCACAGTCACTGAACATTTGTGGATACACATCTGACAGCACTGTCTGGAGTTTGCTGCAGTCTCTACCACCCTCTACTATTCACACAGTTTCTGTACCAATTATGGTTCCCACCTGGCCCCTGTAGTCTTATAACCAGAAAAAACTCACTTCCCAAATTCTGGACTTCCGGGTACAGGGTTCTTTTGCAGGACTGGGGAAATGTTTCCCTCCAACAAGGAGAAGAGACATCCCCTGGGGACAAGGGAACAAATTTATGCTGTTCCCAGAAACACTGGAGTTGTTACAACTCTCCTACCCTCAAGGTGACCTCTGGTCTCAAAAAAAAAAAAAAAAAATCAGACATGCAGGTCACAAATTAGGACCAAAATTCCTCTGCACCTTTCCTAGGAGGTCTTGGTCAGCAATGCATTTTAGGCCATACCTATAGGGAGGGCTACTCTGCCATCATACTGTCTCCACTGAGGAACACAAAATTGTGGGGCCCATGAGAGCAGTTCACCCTTCACAGTAACAGATCCAAATTCTGTTGTCAACTGACTCCACATAGTGAATAGAAGCCCCAGGGTTGTTGTTGCTGTTGGTTAGTTGTTGTGAAGTTGGCTCCAACTCGTGTACCCCATGAACAATGGAAGAAAACACTGCCCAGTCATGCGCCATCCACATGATCAGATGCAAATCAGACCATTATGATCCATAGGATTTTCACTGGTTTTCAGAAGCAGATCACCAGGTCTTTCTCCCTAGCCTGACATGATCTGGAAACTTGGCTGAAACCTGTCCAGCATCATAGCAATATGCAAGCCACCATAGTACAAGCTGACTGGTGGTGGCTGTGCATGTGGTGCACTGACTGGGATCAAACTTGGGTCTTCTGCATGGGAAGCTAGAATTGTACCACTGAACCACCAGTGCCTCACACCCCAAGAGTAAAGATGGATTAAATAATAAGGCCTTCACTGTTGCACAAACCAGAGGAATATTAGTCAGGTAGTTAATAATTGGTGACTTACAGCCTGAAAAAAAATCACAAGTGTCACACAAGACCAACAGTGTACTGAAGAACATAAACTTTGTATGCCAGCTGCTAGCAGAACCCAAATCGGGTCCTCTTGGCCAAAACTGTGTTCAGTCTCTGCTGTATGTAATCAGTCAGAGAAGGGAATGAAGCCCCCTAAGGGCTCAAACTACTCATGATTTTATCTAGGGAATTGGAGAGAACACAGTTGTCTGCCTTGCCTGAGCATTCTGGGGTTACTGAGACACATGGTGGGAAGCTGCAAGATGGTAGAAGTGAGACGGCTTCTGCCATAGAAATTATCAGTCATATAACTCTGGGAGAAGTCCTCGGAAGCATATAACGTGCAACGCAGCTTACAAAATCTTCACACATGCCTGGAACTTGGGGACTTTCACCACTCTGGATGTTTCAAAGTATGAGGTTCAATTTCAGGCAGATGGGTCCCTCGTAAAGTTTCTATAGGGCCATTATGCTGAACAAAGAGCTAGCACATTCCCTGCACGTGCAAGGCCTTTCCTATTTGTGGACTTTCTTGTGTGGAACGACGTTAGACCTTGTGATGAAAGCTTTCACATTTGCTGCCCTCACGAGGCCTTTTTCTGCTGTGAAAATTTCAGTATTGAATGAGGCTGAAACTTTGGCTAAAGGATTTCCCATATTCTCTACACTCATACGGCCTTGCTCCTGTGAACTCTCTGGTGTTGAATAAGGGTGGAGTTTCGGCTAAAGGATTTCCCACATCCACTGCATTCATGAGGCCTTTTTCCAGTGTATATTCTCCAGTATTAAATGAGGGGGAAGCTTTGGCTAAAGGATGCCCCAAATTCACACTTGTAGCATTACTCCTGTGAAATTTCTCATGTTGAGTAAGGGTGGAGATTTGGCTAAAGGATTTCCCACATTCACCACATATATACAGGCTTACTCCAGCATGAATTCTCCAATGTTTATTAAGTCCGGAATTGTGGCTAAAGCATTTCCCACATTCGCCACACTCATAAGGCCTTTCTCCGGTGTGGACTGTCTGGTGTTGACGGAGGGCAGAACTTTGTCTAAAGAATTTTCCACATTTGCTGCACTCATAAGGCTTTTCTCCAGTATGGACTCTTCGGTGTTGAATGAGGCCAGAGCTTTGACTAAAGGATTTTCCACATTCATCACACACATAAGGCTTTACTCCTATGTGACTTCGCTGGTGTTGAATGAGCCCAGATCTTTGGCGAAAGGATTTCTCACACTCATTGCACTTATAAGGCCTGTCTCCAGTATGAGATCTCCGGTGTTGACTGAGAGTAGAGCTACGGCTAAAGAATTTGCCACATTCGCTGCACTCATAAGGCCTTTCTCCAGTGTGAACTCTGCGGTGTTGAATGAGAGTGGAGTTTTCACTAAAGGTTTTCCCACATTCGACACACTTATAAGGCTTTGCTCCTGTGTGAAGTCTCTGGTGTTGAATGAGGCTGCAACTTCGAATAAAGGATTTTCCACATTCACTGCACTCATAAGTCCTTCCACCAGTGTGAACTCTCTGGTGTCTACTAAGGGAGGAGTGGTGGGTAAACGTTTTCCCACATTCACCACACTCATACGGCCTTTCTCCAGTGTGTATTCTCTGGTGTCTACTAACGGAGGAGTGATGGGTAAAGGATTTCCCACATTCACCACACTCATACAGCCTTTTTCCATTGTGAATTTGCTGCTGCTGAACACGTCTGTATTTGTAGCTAATGGCTTTCTGATATTTGCTATCCTCACAAAGCCCCTCTCCAGCACAGATGTTCTGGTGGTCAACAAGTGTGTGTTCATGGCTGGAAGCTTTCCCACATTCTCCTCTCTTGTAATGACTTCTTCCATTGTGAAAAGCCTCTCCACACTCGGCGCTGCTGTCTGTCTTCTTACTGTTGGGAGTAGGCAGGTGCTGGAGAAGGACCGATGGGACTAGGGAGTCCTTTACAACCTCAGCCACAATGTCTTTAAAGACAGGGACACACATCTCCCAGGAGTGAGTCTTCTGGGTAGATGGACCTGTCTGTGATACTCCTTCTATAGAAACATTCTGCTCAGAAGATGTCTCCTCCTCCTCCATTTCATGCCAATGACCTGAAAGCAGAGAAAGGCTGATAAATGTATGTTGACATCGGTGGGAGGGGAAGTCCCATTATAAATGTGTGTCAGTGATGTTAAGAAATGAGTCCAAAGGATTTTTCTGAGGATGAGGGTCTGGAGCCCATTTAGGAAGGGGTTCCTTGCAGTACTGGTCATCTAACTATCATAGAATGGGGGAGGCCTCATCAGATGAAGGACAGGATAAAATGGTGCAGCATGGGAGATAAAGGCAGGGTCTCTATCTCACTCCTCTGCATTAGCCTTCAGTCAACACCAGAGATCTCATACAGGAGACAGGCCTTATGAGTGCAGTAAGTGTGAGAAATCCTTTTGCCAAAGATCTGGGCTCATTCAACACCAGAGTGCTGTGCTGAAGGCTGTTGTGTCCAGGCCCAGGAAAATCCAACTGCAATTGAGTAGCTGTTGTTAAAGGACTATTTAAGGATATGAGCAAACTTCACAACACATTATATTTGGGTTGTTGTTGGAGAATACTGCACAGGGAGTAGTAGAGAGGAACAGATGATGAGTAGAGGCCAGAAAGGCAGGGTAGCCAGAGGCAAGAAGTCACAGTTGAAATGACAAGGCAGCAAAGTGACAAGTATGGGGAAGAAAAGGTAGAAATGAGGTGTGGCCAGTGGCATTTACACCAAAACAGTGGTGGACACAAGGACAGATTTCTTGTGTGATTGGAACACAGCCATGTTGTTGTGCCCTCCCCTAGAAGCAGCTCAGCAGGGCCAGGCCTCCTCTGAGACCATCTTGCCATGTTCACCCTGTAGGCAAACGAGACGCTGCCTGTGATACCCATTCTGCAACTACATAGGACCTGCACGAAACAAGTCCCAAGGAAAGACAGAACAGGTGAGAAGCCAGCACTGGCTCAGAGCAGGTCAGCATACAATAGACTATAATTGATATTACAAAAAAAAAACATGAAGGAAGGTCTTGCAAATACTGCCCTAGGACCACAACAGTAATGACTATGACAATGCCTGCAATTCCTGGCACAGGCAGGCAGAAAGAAATATCAGCTAGAGGAAGGGGGCAGAACCTGGGGCACAGAGTGGTGTGGATGTGAATACACCATCCAGTCAGGGAAAGGACAAGCAGGGTGGGATCCACTGAGCTGAATGGAAGACACCTGACTCCTGGAATCTTCCCTGCACACTCAGACGGTGGGGCTGCTCAGGGAGTACATTGTGTAGGGCAGTGCACACAGCTCAGCATTGACCCCCACAGCATATATGCCAGGAAAAGTGGAGAAGATAGCACAGGCCATGGTCTGGATGTAGAAGGACAGAGCCATTTCTGGGGAAAAGATGAAAGGCAGAGATCAGCTCGGGACACTGGAATGGGTTTCAGTGCCTTACCCAATGATGCTATGATTGTAAAGTTCTCTAGCATCACATCGCTGTACAGTATCCTCTGAGCTTCATCAAGGAGCCCCCACTCCTCCTGGGAGAAGTAAATGGCCACATCTTCAAAGGTAACACAGCCCTGTCATGATGGGGACAACAGTTCATTCCATGATTAGTATCTTAGGACCCCAAGTTCATTACCCCCACATTCATCCCTGCTCACTGTCCTCCCCAGTTCCCACCTGAGAGGAGACAGTAGGCCTTGGTGCAGTAATCTCCACTCTCCCATCATGGTCTCACTGATTACTGTATTAGCCAACAGCACCAATAGGCAGGTAGCCAGACAGACAAGACCTAAGCTCGGTGCTAGCACCAAGGCCACGTGCACACCCTCTTGTCAGGCAGTTCCCTGTAGTCCTGAGATCGTGCCTTCTACACAAAACCAAATACAGACTTATCCTTCACCGTTAGGTCCCCAGTAGAAGGTCCTGGGCCATCAGTTCACTCTCCACCTGCACACCACTCTTTGTGCTACACTCTCTGCTCAGCCTCCTCCCCATCCCTGCCTCACAACATAGGCACCCCCTGGCTTCCCCATATGTCACTGCTCACATGACACCCAAAGAATGCTTGGTATTTTCAAACAGGATTCAGTTCTACCCCCGACCTCCACTACCAGGAGTAGCCCCTCACCTGCTGTGAAGGCCTCTCTGCCTGATTCTGTTCCTGGCTTTAACCTCAGTCGACCAGAACCACCTGTGTCCTCCTCTACTTGTGCTTCATTTGCTATCCCCTTACCAATCACAGCCTTCCTCTTTCCACCTAAACCACACTGTGGCCCACAAAAATATGTATTGTGGGGTCCCAGTGCCCCTTTACCCTAGTCCTAGTGACTCTCCCAGAGACCATTTGTGCCCCTGAGCTTATCTACCAGACTGACTAAAACATCCGAGACTCTGCCAAGGATCACAGCAAATCCTAGTGTGTCCACAGAGTGCTGACTATGTTCCTGCTGCAGACTCACTGTTCTCTTGCCTCTATTACTCCTGTGTCTCCACATCCATCTCATATTTACCCTTCCCTTAGAAGCCCTGACCAATATCTTAGTAAGCTAGTGCTGTTGTAACAGAAATACAGAAGTGGGTGGCTTTAATGAACATAAATTTAATTTCTCACAGTTCAAGATGCTAGAATTTGAATTAGGGCCCCGGCTCTAGAGGAAGCTCTCTTTCTGTCGGCTCTAGGGGGAAATCCTTGTCTCAGTTTCTCTAGCCCCAGTGTTCCTTGATTTTTTTGGCAATTTCCTCGTAACATCTATATTCCCCTAACTGTGCTAGTTTGTCTCTGTGTCGATGCTGCTTCTTATAATTCAGCAGTGATTAGGTTTAGGAGACACCCTACACTGAAAGGACATCATTAACATAACAAAGAAAACCTTATTCCCAAATGGGATTACATCTGCAGGTACAGGGGTCAAGACTCCAACATGTATTTTTGTAGGGCACAATTCAATCCATAACAGTCACCTGCCAGATCATCTTCTCTCCTACAATCTTCCCATAGCCACTTCTCTGCCTCATATGTGTTTGTGATGTACACTAATCTCACCAGGGGTCCTAGCTAGAAACCTAGTCCTTGGTCGCCACCTTCCCTTTCCTATTGTGCTATTAGCATTACCACCACGACCAGGATTCCCACTACTGAATGTGACTTCCAGGTTCATACTGTCCACCACCTTTTGGAGATGTCTCCATCCTGAATCCCTCCCCAGAGCTCCAAACCTGTGTGTCCAGCCCACTTGATGCTTCCACTTATTTGTTCTCTAAAACATCTCAGACTCTTGACATGGTCAAAACAAAATTCCTGAGATCTCCAATCAAAATTACCCCTACTACTGACTCCCCTTCTAAGTCAACGGACCTTCAATCCTTCCAGCTGTTGAAACTACCAACAGTGGGGATATCCCTGACTCCTACACCTTTGTCATACTAAAAATCTGAAAATCCAGGCAGACCTACTTAAAAGACAGAGACTTTTATCAACAAAGTGAAGAGACGACCTAGAGATTGGGAGAAAATTTTCAGGAACCATATACCTGATAAAGGTCTAATATCCAAAATATGTTTGAAAAACTTATACAATGTAACAACAAAAACACAAACAACCCAATCAAAATATGGGCAAAGAGAACTAGATGGTGCCTGGCTACCACTACTGACCGTTCAGATCAGGGTCATAATAGATGACCTTGATAAAATGGGAGAAAAATGTGGAACAGAATCTCAAATTCCTAAAAAAAAAAAAAACCTAGAAAACCAGACTTACTGGTCTAGTTGAGACCAGAAGACTCCCTGAGACTATTGCCCTGAGATACTCTTTATACCTTGAAATGAAACTAGCCCCTGAGATCATCTTTTAGCTAAATAACAGATTGGTTCACAAAATAAAGAATATCACCCATGAGTACTGTGCTTCTTTAAAAAAAATCATCTATATGACACTAAATGGTCAACAAATATTTTAAAACAAAGATGAGAACATAACGGGGCAAGGAAACTAGATTAATGGACACAAAACAACTATTATAGAATGGAATATTGAGAACTTTCACACACTGTGAAGAATGTAACCAACTTCACTGAACAATATGTGTAGAAATTGAATAGAAACCTAAACTGCTGTGTAAATTTTCACTGAAGACACAAATTATTATTTTTAAAAAATGGACAAAGGACTTGAACATTTCATTAAAGACGATATCCAAACGGATAACAAGCACATAAGAAGATGCTCAATGTCACTAGCCATGAAGGAGATGCAAATAAAAACCACAATGAGAAAAACTACTCATCCTCATTAGAATGGCAGTGATCAAAAAAAAAAAAAAAGGCAAAACAACAGGTGTTGGCCAGGTTATGGAGAAACCGGAACCCTTATCCATTGCTAGTGGGAATGTAAAATGGCACAGCCGCTGCAGAAAACAGTTTGCTAGTTCCTCAAAAAGTTGAACGTAGAATTACCACATGACCTAGCAATCCTAATCCTATGTATATTCTCAGAAGAAATGAAAGGAGAAATGCAAACAGAAACTGTACAACAATGTTCATTGCAGCACTTTTAACAAATAGCCAAAAGCAACCGAAATGTCCAACAAATGAATGGATAAACAAATGGGGTATACACACAATGGACTATTACTCAGCCATAAAGAGAAATGAAGTTCTGATGAATGCCAAACATGGATCAATCTTGAAAATGTCATGCAGAGCGAAATAAATGAGTCGCGAAAGGTCACTCTGTAATCTCAAATATATAGACACCAAAGATTAGTTGTGGTTACCAGGAATGGAGGGAGGAAAAAAGGGGAATTTATGCTTAGGAAGTATTGAGGTTATGTTAATGGTAGTGGAATGATTTAGAAAAGGATAGCGAGGATGGGTGCATAACCTGAAGAATTTAACCAGTGAACTGTACATGTAGAAACTGAGATGGTGTATGCTTTGTTATGTATAATTTCACCACAATAAAAAAAAAAAAAAGAAAGATCTAGAATCCCATCATTCCTACAATCTTCACGGCTACCACAATGGTCAAGCCACTGTCAACACACACCTGGACTACTACAGTAGCCTCCTCCCTGGTCTTCCTACCATCCACCTCACACCTGCAGTCTAGTCTCCATGCTGCAGCTACAGGGAGCCTGATGATACCTGGGTCAGATCACCTCCTTCCTCTGCTCCAAAATTCCCACTGCTCCCATCATCTCCAGAATTGATGCTCAACTTCTTAAGAAGCCATTCCACCCCGACTCCTGCCCCTTACTCTGTTCCCATGAGAAAGAATGGAGAACAAAGTTTCTCTGACACTACCAGCTCAACCTTGCCTACAAGCATTTGCCCATACCGGTACTTATGAATCGGAATCGACTCGACGGCAACGGGTTTGGTTTTTAGTTTGGGTACTTACGCCTGGGACAACCTTTCAGACTTCATTCCATTGGTTAAAACAGGAACCACTCCATAGAGCCCCACACCTGAACTTAGAACCCTAAGCATGGGGTATGTTCAGGGTCCCCAGGCTCAAGGGCTAGAAGAGTGGCAGGCAAAGAGTCCCAGGACAGTACAAATCCAGAGACCTAAGGGTGGGATCAAGATCAGTGAGGCCTGGGACACCCTCTGCTCAATAGGGCAGACTCCACAGGCATGTCTGCAGCTATGGGATGCTGTGGGAAGAGGGAGGTGTGAAAGCAGGTGACCACTGTAGGACTGCAGGGGCTCAGGTCTCTCTGTCCCCCTGTCCAGCCTAGGAGCCAGAGGACCTCGAGATCACTGCATTATCTCTGGTCCTGAGACCTCAGTGCTGCCACAGCCTGTGTATGACTCACTGTTATCATCCTCCTTCCAGTCTGTTCTCCTTCTGAGCAGCTTTTGGAAAACTTTTAAAAGCCCAACTCATTCTCCTCCTTCACAACCCTCCATGGCTCTCAGAGACCTGAGACTGAAGGCACAACTCCCCAGCCTACCATCCAGGCGCGATTCCTAACACTCCTGTTACCTGCGGACACACGACGGCCCCCAGGTTTCGCTGTTGCTCCGGCTCAGTCGCACCTCCAGCCTTTACCCAGCCGGTCCCTCTGCTGGGGGCTCTCCCCCACCTGTCATGATACTACCAAACCAAAAACCAAACCCGTGCCGTCAAGTCGATTTCGACTCATAGCGACCGTATAGGACGGAGAAGAGCTCCATAGGGTTTCCAAAGAGCGGCTCCTGGATTCTAACCGTCAACCCTTTGGTTAGTAACCGAGCTCTTAACCACTGTACCACCAGAGCTCCCTCATCATACTAGTTCTCAGGAAACGGGGTCCCCACCACAAGCGCCCCCTTGGGCAGGACCAGGTCCTGTGCTGCAGGGGCCTGTGGAGAGCTCGAGGATTGGGAGATGCTGGTCAGGAAGGCGAGGCCCGGGGGACGCCCACTCACCTGACACGGGTCCCTCAGCACGGCGGCCGCCATGGAGCCTGTGGGCGGGGCGGGGCCGGGCTGCGGCGGGGAATGGGCAGAACCCGGGCAATGCGCTCCCCACTTAGTAAGGCCGTGGGGTGGGTCACCTCTGAAGGAGCCGCCGCCGAGGCTCAGACCCGCCTTTGTGAAGACAGGACAACGCGCCCTCTCCTAACTCTCGGTTACGTCACCATGGTACCCACCCAGCTGGCGGGTGCTGCCAGAACAATCGCCACAAAGGGGAGCCAGAAGTCCCGCCCCAACATAGTTGGCATGCGCAGAAATGCCGTTTTTTGGGCTTTCAATGGTTGAAGCCGCTGTCGCTAGTCACACAGACGTCTGGGTAATACAGTTCTTGAATCTTCACAGGCCGCGGGAAAGGGCGACCTCCCCCCGCAGACTCCTCGCAACAAAGCCCAAATGGCTCCCCACTGGACACTGGAAAATGGTGTCTCTAGCCTCTCAGGGCAGCGGAGGGACTTCTCTTCTTCCTAAAGGCCCGAGGCAGATTTCTGTGGAGTGTTATCTGCAATTGATCACAGTGTTTAGAGAAATTATTTAAGACTCCTTGAAGCTCACTATTATTTCAGATGCTCCTAAGGCTACAGATCCAATGCACCTATCATTCCATAGAGTTATTCAGATACAAAGTGCATTCACTCGGAGCTGGAGGCTAATAAACATTATTTATTGTTTTTCAAATTCATGTAGCCAGAATCCTTAGAGTCAGTTTTGTGAGTTCTTGTATATTGGGTTAAGGACAAGAGAAAGAGGTTCTGCACAGGGCCTTGGGGGCGGGGGGCGACAACACAAAAGAAGGGTGTCATACTACCCTGAAGCAGGTGAACAAGGGTGTAACTCAGCCACTTCTTCCCACAGAAAACATGTCTCCTACATGTATAGTCAGCGAACGTGTCCAACAAAGGGAGAAACACTGTTTCATCTTATACTTCTTTATGAAATGCAAGAAATATCTTACTCCATATCCTAAGATATATTGTTATTTTTAGGAATCTGTCACCTATCTCAAAGTCCAAATATGGTCTCAAATGTTATAATTTGAGTTAAGAATTGATACAGCGAAGATCTTAACACTCTTCAGTAACATTTGTGACATTTTTTGGTTGATTTTTATATATCTAAATCACTTGATGTAAGTGCTGCCTGCAAGTTTCTCACTGTAGATATGTAAATAAGGGAAACTGGGAAGGACAAGGGCCACTCACATACTATTGCAAAATTATAAGCACGAAAATATTCACGTAATATGTATATTTTTGAAAAATTTAATAGGACTACAAAAAATTTGAGGGCTGCTCAATAGACAAGATATTAATGCTCGTAAGTATGTTCTGGAAGTACTTAAACTATTCTAAATTCTCAGGTAATGGAGTTCCACTCAAATGGCTCTAAAGGTAAGCCACTGAAACCTGTTGTCATTGAGTCAATATCAACTAATGGCATGTGTGTCAGAGTAGAACTGCACTCCATAGATGTTATGGATTGAATTGTGTCCCCCAAAAATATGTGTTGTAAATCCTAACTTCTATGCCTGTGGTTATAATCCCATTTGGGAATGGATTATCTTTGTTGTGTTAATGAAATAGGATTAGTGCGAGGTTTGTCTTAAATCAATCTCTTTTTGAGATATAAAAGAGATTAAACAAGCGAGAGAAGTAGAGATGGAGGAAGATAGATGCCAAGTCACATGAAGATCGCCCAGAAGTAGAAGCTCAAAAGAGACAAGGACCTTCCTCCAGAGCCAACAGAGAAAGACTTCCTCTAGAGTTGGCACCCTTAATTCGGAGTTCAAGCCTCCTAATCTGTGAGAAAACAAATTTGTTTCTTAAAGCTACCTACTTGTGGTATTTCTGTTATAGCAGCACTAAATAAATAAGACAATAAGGTTTTCAGTGGCTGTGATCTCACAGAGGTAGATCAGAGCAGCTGGGCGGATCAAACCACTGACCTTTCAGTTAGTAGTTGAACACAAACTGTTTGCATCATACAAACCTTGAGCCCCATGAGGAATATTAACCCAACAAAATAAACTCCTATATGAAAATGTGCAGATTCTTAATTGAATATAGTCCTGTAATTGAGTAATGGAGAAAAGAAACAGATCTTACTCTGAGAAACAGTGTTGTTAAGTTTATTAGAGGCCAAAAATTAAGTGTTTCACCTTGATTTATCATTTATTACAACCATGTGTCTCAGTCATCTACTGCGGCTGTAACAGAAATATTACAAGTGGACAGATTTAGCAAACAGAAGTTAATTCTCTCACAGTCCAGTAGGCTACAAGTGCAAATTCAGGGCATCAGCTCCAGGAGAAGGCTCTCTCTCTGTGTTGGCTCTGGAGGAAGGTCCTTGTGATGCATCAGTCTTCCTTTGGTCTGGGAGCATCTCAGCACAGGAACCTCAGGTCAAAAGTACGCGCTCTGCTCCCAGCACTGCTTTCTTGGTGGTATGAGGTTCCCATGTGTCTGTCCTTGCTTCTCTCTTTTATATCTCAAAAGAGACTGGATTAAGACACTATCTAATCTTGTAAACCTCATCATTATCACCTCATCACAGTGATAGAATTTACAACACATAAGGAGATCACATATAACCTCATCATACTGATAAGAGTTTATAACACATAAGGAAATCACATCAGATTACACAATCATACAATACTGGGAATCATGTGCTACACACATTTTTGGGCGGACACAATTCAATCCATGACACCACGTTACCTAAATATATTGGATTAAAATGTAATTTAGACAATGTAGATACAGGTTTTATATTTATTTACATTAAGTAATATTTTATGGGATTCAATTCAAAATTTAAGTAATTTGGATCATTTCACTGTGACTAAAATTCTCAGAGGCCCATTATCTCTTATGAAATGTTCTGATCTTTGATATGATATGACCTCCAACACCTGCCAGAAGACACCACTTGTATTCCTTGCTTCATTTCTTGCCACTCTCTCCACCACACTTTTCTCCAAACATTGAACTTCCTTCCGTTCTTTGAGGTCCACTTGTACCTTTCCAACGCAAGGTATTCCTAGGTCACTTTCTCCCCACTTGAAATATCCTTCACTCAATATGATTTGAAAATGCAATAAATTATTTGAATGTCACTCACCTCAAAGTTTAAATCATCAGTGAGTTTCTACTCAAAATTCCAAAACACTGAAGATTACCCATATAATACCTGATTTTCTCTGATGACTATTATACAATTTAAGAATGTTGTCTTTGAAGCATTATTTATACCATGTTCATTTTTTTTTTTTTAGCAATTCTATAAGTAATATGAGGCCAGGATTCTTTTTGTCATATTGAATCCCAGAGTCCTTCCAAGATAATGTGTTCATAAAATATGAGCTTCTTCCTGTTGTTAGTTGCCATTGAGCTGGGTCTGATTCATGGAAACCTTATGTATAGCAGAACAAAACATTGCCCAGTCCTGCCCTATTTTCATAATCATTAGTATGTTTCAATGCACTGTTGTGGTTATTGTGTCAATCCATCTCATTAGGAGTCTCCCTCACCTCAGTAGTTTCGTTGGCATTCTACTTTACATGAGCTTACAAATACAAAAAAAAGCTATTAAATAAATGATAGAATTTCTGGAGGGAACTTATAATCTTCAGACAATACTTGGCAAAACTGTTTTTCTTCCCCAGCAGGCAGAGCAGAAATGAGAGACACAGGTGTCACTGCCAAGTAGCACAAAGGGCCTGAATGTTGGGCAGACAACACCATTGCAGAGGTGTCCGTTAACCACGGGCTTGGGTTCACAACCAGGGCTATCCAAAAGGACAAAATGGAAGAGAAAGTGTAAAAGAAGATGTAATCAACAGGGTTAAACTCTTCCCCCTCCATCCATCACACCCTGGGTCTGTGGTCAACTAGTTCATGATAAGGCATTGGTGTAGCAGCCCAAGACCACTTCACTGCTCCCCTTCCATTTGACTTCCACCAAAAAACAAACAAAACCGGTTGCCGTCAAGTCGATTCCAACTCACAGAGACCCTATAGGACAGAGTAGAACCGCCCCATAGAGTTTCCAAGGAGCACCTGTGGATTTAAACTGCCAATCTTTTGGTTAGCAGCCATAGCTCTTAACCACATCGCCACCAGGGTTTCCAATAAGCCGCAACTCTGTCCTTAGAACTTCATGTGTCACACCCTAAAAAACATACCCCTTAGTTTACATGACACTGAATCCCCACTGCACCCCCACACATGTTAATTAGTTCCTGGAATTGCCCATCTAGTCTCAGAAACTTCATGAATTATGCATAACTTCCCTATCCCAAACCCTATAACTACCCTGGAATCCCCAACCTCGGGGAGGTTGATTTGAGACTTAGCCTCTGAGCTCCTTGCTTGATCAGCTTGCAATACAGTCTACTTTCTCTTCCTCAAAGGCCTGTTGTCTCTCAATTGACTCGAGGGGGCACACTGGGTGGGTTACAAATTCTGGTGACCCAGATGGAACTTTTAATCTGCTTCTAATTTTGACTGCCAGGCTCCTGGGATCACCTCTGGCCACTGGCACAGCTGTCTCCCCTCAGTGCACACCACCTAACTTCTCTGGGAGGCAATGGTGAAACTGCCTTTCACAGCTGGAGCTGTGCCCGGACCCATGGTGACTTGTCCCTTTGAGATTGAGAAATAGACTCTGGGCAGGGATCCTGATCTGGTGAGTACCACTTGAACAGTGTCACAAGCACCTAAGGGCTTCTGAGGAGGTGAGTGACTTAGGAGCCAAGTGCAAGCCCAAGAGAACTGCTATTTCCATCAGAATCTGGGTAGTTGAGAGTTGTGCTGATCTGGTCACAAGAAACCCCTGTTGCACTTTGGTCGTTGTGGTTCTAGTACTCCTGGTTTTTCTGGTTTCTGGTTTTAGCCTAGGCTCAGGTATGGGAAACACACAAGCTATACCGAAGTGCAGCCCCCTAGGATGCATCCTAGCTAACTGGGATTTTTTTTTTAGTTATGATCCTATGAAGAAAAAGAAGATGAAGTTTTTCTGCAATGTTGCATGGCCACAATAGCAACTGGACGACAGGGGAACACTGGCCACAAAATGGTTCTGAATTATAATACAATTCTCCAGTTATGTTTGTTTTGCACTCAGGAAGGTAAATGGGATGAGAAAATATATGTTGATGGCTTTATGTCCTTATATAACAACAAAAATATTCAAAAGCAATGTAAAATTATGGTTCAAACTGAGATAAAGAGACAAAAGGTTTTTGATTCCCAGGGGAAGATGATTTTTCCTCTCTTCCTCCATTGTCAACCCCACCCTTGTATCCACCAAAACCATCTGGGCTGGCTGAGCCAACCTCAGAAATGATTTCCCCGCTGCACATGCAAAGTGGTATGACTTTCAGATAGGGGACTGCCCTATTTGAAACAGGGCAACAGGCAACAGGGCATTATCCACTAAGACAAGTTCCTACCAGGCAGGAGGAAAATGGAACACCAGAATTAGCCTGGGTACACACTGCATTCTCTACATCTGATTTGTTAAATTGGGGGAAAAAAAAAAAAAAACCTCCCTCCTTATTGAGATGACCTAAAGCATATGGCAGACCTTTTCACTTCCATCTTTGCCACCCGCTGCCCTACCTGAACTGATTGTCAGCTGCTCTTGGATATACTTTTGAGCCCAGAGGAGTGGAGATTAGTCTTAGGAAAAGCCAGGGAAGAAGTGGAGTGCTTCCATCAGCCCAACAACCCTATTCTACAAGCTCTTGATTTAGCAATACTTTTTTCTGAGCCTACCTGGGACCCTAATGATCCTCTGGTAAATGGAAGGCTCAACCATCATTGAGCTTGTCTTATTGTGGGACTGAAAAGGGGTGCTCCAAAACAAAGGAATTTGAATAAGGTTTATGAGGTCTATCAAGGATTGACTAAGGATCCATCTACCCTCCTTCAAAGAATTTTTGCTGCATTCCAACAATATACAGATGTAGACCAGAAAACCCAGAGAACGCAAAAATGGTGAATATGGTATTTATCAGGCAAAGTGCAACAGACATTAGAAAAAAGTTACAAAAAGCCAAGGGGAGCCTAAGTATGAACCTAGCACAATTGGATGAAATAGCCTTTAAAGCATATAACAACAGAGACCAGGTCCAGGAAAAGAAAGAAACTCAGAAATTCAAACCGCAAGCAGCCTTCCTTACAGCCACTATGGCTCGGGGGTCTTTCAAACCAAGCCACTGTTCTTTTAACCACCAACTCAACAGCTAAACGTGAAAATGTCAAAGCCTGGGTGCTTCATACTCACCTCAAACCTGTGCCACACCCAGAAGATACTCTGCAACAAGAACAACCTCAACAAAACAACTGGACTTGTAAGCCTACGCAGGACTTAAAATATCTGTTTAAAAAGAAATAAAAAGTTAATGCCTAACCCAGAAACCCTCCATCACGATTGTGCTCTTAATGGCTGCATTGCCTTTACTACCTTGGCAATCATTCTGTTCTTCCTTCTCTTTTTACAGCAGCTCCAGATCATTCTTTGCTTTCTTATGTTTTGACTCCATGCTGAACATCTCACGGACAGAAAATTTTTATCTAAAATTAATCCAATCAGTAGCCACTGGAGGCAATCTCACTGTCTGTTGGGTATGTTACCCTTTGCCTATCACCATGGAAAGTCTCTGCATCCCTTGGGCAGTTCCAATACCTGATGTTACACACCTAAAGGTACCACCTCCCACCTATAATGACACTCTAGATAGCCCTGGGTTAGAGGTAAGAGCCAAGAAAGCAAGTGCTACCACTCCTAGCTTTAAAATTGAAAGCATATTTTACCGGGTTATAGATTCAAACACTGTAGGCAATTTTAGTTACAGTAATTACTCCACCTTCACAGAAGGAATGAAAAACTGCAGAATCTAACTGGTCTCATTCACCTAGGTACTTATTCAGATTGTGTCATCAATAACTATAGCATAACACAAAGCTGGAAAAATTGGCTCAATGACACTGCCAACCCCTGGTTTTATTCAGAGAGGAACAACTCAAAAGTTGCAAGCCGGACTTGAGTTTGCGCACAGCCTGGGTATTCATTTCTTTGTGGTAATCATACTAAATCCGGGAGTCAAACATTCCTCTCTGCTTCTTACAAATGCTTTATGCCGCGAGCCGTGATCGGTACTTGCACCCTTGGAATAGCGTCCTTCCCCATGGTTATCACTTCCCCTTATAACTTCACTCAGCTAATGAAACCACTTACTAACTCCTGGAGAAAAAAAAAACAGAAACCCAATCCTCAGACAACTCTGATGAAATTGGATGGGGCTTATCTGGAACCGAGCATAATCCCATAACTGAAACTAGCACTGGTTGGTTGATCCTCTGAATGCTTACAATTTTCCCTCACCTTGCAGCTCTTCAAGATGCCATACTGAACTTAGACACTATTTACTTCCTTTTCCAAAACTGCCGGCTGAGCTATAAAAGCCCAACAAACTTCCTTAAATTTCCTGGCTGGGTCATCATGGAGAATGGCATTACCCTTGATTATATTTTAGCCAAAGAAGGAGGCGTCTGCACTGTAGCCAATACCTCCTGCTCTACCCGGATAAACACTAGCCATGAGGTAGAAGTCAATCTCCACAAATTACAACAGATCGCCAACTGGATGCATCCCCTTCACCCACTTACTGCTGGAGAAAATCTGTCTGATTGATGGCCATGGATAACTTCCCTTTTCCTGGTTTCCACTGGCTCTGGCACCTTGTTACTCCGCTGATAATTCTATTACTAATCTCTCTGTTTTTGCCCTGCCTCTTAAACAGTCTTACCAGGTTCATTCAAAATCATCTAGCAGCTGTGAACATCATGATGCTTCAGATGTCCAACCACCTTCCTCGTAATTCAACAAACCTCAGATTCTACATCGCACATGCTTCCATCAGTCAGTAAGCTCAAAAGTTCTGGAGGTCCAGGCCACCACCTGCATAAAGATCTATCTTCAAGACTGAAGACCCTGAAAACCAGAAGAGGGAATATAACCAACAGGGTTAAACTGTTCACCCTCCATCCATCACACCCCAGGTCTGTGGTCAACTAGTTTCTGATAAGGCATCAGTGTAGCAGCTCAAGGCCACTTCACTGCTCCCCCTCCATTCAGACATGCTCAATAAGCCACAATGCTGAGCTTACATGAACTTCATGCATCACATCCTGAAAAACACACCCCCTAACTGCCATGACACTGCAGATCCACATGTTAATTATTTCCTGGAATTGCCCACCTATTCTCAGAGGCTTCATGAATTTTATGCATAACTTTCCTATGCTGAACATTATAACTACCCTGGAATCCCCAACCTTGAGGAGTTGACTTGAGACTTAGTCTCTGAGCTCCTTGCTTGACCAGCTTGCAATAAAGTCAGTTTTCTCTTCCTCAAAGGCCTGGTGTCTCTCAATTGACTGAAGAGGTCGCACCAGGCAGGATTCACCCTCATCAGGTTATAAAGACAACCATGCTCACCAGGACAGGAAGGTCATGTGGTTCTGGCCTCATAGGAATGTTACCTGAATATGATCTGTGCCCTGGAAAGCAGTTGAGCCAATGAAACATAGTCTAAGTCAGAAAGAGTGAGAAAGTTTTAATTTAGGAAGCGTCCACCACTGGGGATCCAACAGCAATGCAGACTGTCTCAATGGGTTCCCAAAAGGCATTTTTACATTACAGCTTATATATGATTTTTACAAAAGTTAGAAGTGTTGTTATACATTGTAGGGTAATTACAAGAGACTCTTTATCATACCAAAGAGATACCTGCCAGACATTTCCATATCTGACATCTGGGCTCTAATCTTCCTGTGGGGAGTCGTAAGCCACAGGTGGCCAGACAGAGCAAAACCAAGTCATTAACAAAAGTATGTGAAAAGAAGGAGGCAAAAAAAAAAAAAACCTTATAGGTTTATCATGGCGTTAGTTATGTCAAGCTCTCAGTCGCCCATTCTGAAAAGGAGAAAACATGGTGGGGAGTATTAGAGTCACTGGAATTCTCAGGGGTGGGGGGAAAGGCTGCTGCGGATATGTCAGATTCCCTGCTTGTGCCTGTGCAGGACAAAGAGCATGGAGCCACTAGACAAGATCATGAGGCCCAAACATATAACATCAATGAAGGAGAACAAGACTGCATGTAGTGAGACTACAAATCTGTCTGGAAAGGACGAGTGAGTAACAGTATCCATAAATTTTCTCCACACTCATGTTTCCACTCTTACTGGAGCCAGTAATATTCATAGCAATAAAGGGATTGTGTTGTAGTGTAATGAACTGTCTAAATTCATGAAGGATAAGAATCAGAATCAGCACAAAATGTTCCTATGAGGTGGAGGTCAGACGCACTTCTGCACTCCAATTTCTTCACAATTTCTGACACCAGCTGTCCCTGTCTCACGGTACTCTCTAGTTCTCTGCTGGGTTTGACAGTTAGTTGCAATGTCCACAGAGAACTCACAGATCATACTCACAATTATGTGGTTTATTAGGAAAGTAACAGGCTATGACTTGGGATCAGGATCAACTTGGAAGTAACAGGAACAACTCGGGATCAGGATCAGGAAGCACACAGGCAAGATCTGGAAGTCTCCCCTAAAGTGGAGAACACATCCCTCCCTTCTTCAGTGCAGGACAACTCTCTCAGCTGCTCTCTGATGTCAGGATTCTCCACCATCTGCCTCCCTGCTGTCAGCCTCTACACTGCTAACTGGTCTACCTTTTGGCCAGTGTGGCTGCCAACGTAGCAACTTCAGGCCTGCTCAGTTCCCACGTGGCACTGCTTTTCTGCCAGCATCTCTCTCAGCTACAGCTTTTTCAGCTAACCAGCCCAGCTTTCAGCTGACAACTTTCTCACCTGCAGCCTTTTTACCAGGCCTGAAGAGGGGGTCTCCGTGACCCAAAGAACACGCTCCCCTCCAGGCTCCTGTCAACAAGGAGGCCTTTTAAAACCTCTGCATTTCAGCCGTTTATATATAAACCGAAAAAAAAAACAAACCCATTGCTGTCAAGTCGATTCTGACTCACTGCAACCCTAACAGACAGAGTAGAACTTCCCCATAGGGTTTCCAAGGAACAGTTGGTGGATTCGAACTGCCGACATTTTCAGTTAGCAGCTCAGCCCTTAGCCACTCACTGTGCCACCAGGGCTCCTTTATATATACCAAAAAAACCCAAAAAACCAAACCCACTGCCGTTGAGCTGATTCCAACTCATAGCAGCCCTATAGACCAGTCCTCATCAATTACCAAGAGGGACTCCCTCACCAAAGTTCAGCCAATCCTCAATTACCTATGACATGTCTGTCAAGTCAGATATTGCACAAAGGTAACATTTTCTGCCAGGCAGAGACAGGCTCCTCCCTTGGACAAAAGTAACAAACCCTCTGGGGTAGAGAGCACCCTGGGGCGGGGGGTATCCCCCAAGTTGCTTCTCCAAAGAACTAGGTTAAAGGTAACAACTTCTCAGGGCTTAGGCAAGCTGTTTCTCCAAAGAACCAAGGTAAAAGGCCACATAAAGTAACTCATTGCACACAGGTATTTAGAAGGAGCTGCAGGATCGGGCAGAGGAAACAGCAAAGCCAATGCTCTTTGGGGATCTAAATATGAACTCCATCCACCCAGAGCTACTGGGGCAAATCTTAATGATGAAAAGTGGCCATTTTCATAACATATTTTGAAAGTGGAACCATCTAGGTTTCTTGTATTACTGAATGAACCAAGAATGACACCTCGGGTTTGGCTCATTGCAAAGAGAGAGTTGGCATGGTCTGAATTTGGGAAGATCGTGGCTACCGCAGAATTGAAGGAAAACTCAGGAGAAATGATTGAAAGTGTTGAGGCTATGAAATCTAAGAATAGAGCACAAGTATAAGACAGATTATCACAGATGTAAGAGAAGTTTATGATGCAGATATACATTTGCAAGTTTGGAGTTTATAGGGGTATTTACAAGTATGTCACTGCATGAGATCACCCGTGGAACTTGTGTAGATTGTGAGAAAAATGACTAATGACTGAACCGTTGTGCATTACAACGGGCAGTGCAGTTAACTGCAGAGAAACAGTGACAGCAGAACCAGGAGACTGGCACAAGATGGCATGGTGGGCCTGGCCCACACAGCAAGCGAGCTGAGCGCCCTCAGGCAGGTGGCTTCCCGGTGGAGTGGGTTGCCTCTGGGCACTTACTGGAGGAGCTAAAGAGCTTTGTAACACTTGCCCAAGCAGGGCAGATGCCAGGCTGCAGTGGGACCGAGGCCGAGAGTGAGGGCCTGGAAGCAGTTGCCAAGAAGCTGTCCTGACTGAAGAACGGTATCCTCAGTTGTTCTGTTACTTCCAAGTTGATCCTGATCCTGAATTGTAATCTGTTACTTCCCAAATAAACCCCGCAATGATGAGTATGGTCTGTGAATTCTGTTTGGCCATTACCAAAAATTACTGAACCCAGCAGAGAAGTAGAGTGCTGTGTGAGGGATGACTGATGTAAGAATTGGTAAAAAGGTTAGAGAATAGAAATATGTCTAACTTCCACCTTGTAAGAATCAGCTTTGGGCTGATGCTGATGTTGATTCTTCTCTCTCCCCTGAAGTTAGATGAAGTCTGATCATAACAGTTTTACATAATGTTAAGGGAATGGATAAAGAAAATAGAACCAGTTGCCATTGAGTCTATACCTACTCATGATGGCCCCATATGTGCACAGTAGATCTGCTCCATGGGGTTTTCAAGGCTGAGGCCTTTTGGAAGCTGATTGCCAGGCCTTTCTATTGAGGCACCTCTGGGTGGGCTCAAACCACCAATCTTTCAGCTAGTAGTCAAGTGCTTAACTGTGCCACCCAGGGACCCCTGGACAAACCAATATGCATTAATTCCTAAAACCCTGCATATAGTGCAGAGCTGATATCAAGGTCACAGTGATTTCCCAGGAAGATGTGCAAAGGAGGCCAAGAGAATCTCTCCAACCATTTCCTGGGCACCCCTACCCCACTCTTTAGATTTAGAGGAGGGTAAGGATGAGATTATGCACTCTCCTGGTTTGGGGACTCTACATTACTCCTCATGTCATGGTCACTAAAAGATGCTGTGTTCTCTGACCCCTGACCTCGTTTATGGTGAATCACAAAATTTTAGGAAAAGAGTCTATTTTATGCCCAATAATACCAAGAGAACTAGAGCAGCAAAAACACTCAATAGCGTATAGAATCTCTGTATAAGTGATATGCAAATTGGAAGGTCAATATTTTTCCAAATAACATTTGGACAATAAAGGCATCTTTTGTAACAGACAAAATAACATACACACTTCACTAGAGACATGAGGTCAATGGTCAGAAAACATGGCATCTCGTGTGGCTTCATGAGTGTATCTGTATGTCAAAACTTATCAAATTGCACCATTTACTTATAGCTTATTGCATATATCTTAGGAAAACTTTTCTAAAAATGGTTCAAACTAAAAACTTCCCACAATTTTCAGAAAACCATCATTTTTGTCATACCTGGGGAAGGGCAGCCCTGCATCGGTGGCAGGAAATATGGGTGAGCAATGAAGACAGTTACCATCTGAGCCAATAGGCATGCTGGCTGGGTCACAAAACCGCATCGCCAGCTGCAGGATCTACATTCTCTCCATCCATGTTTTCTTTCCTGTGCAGTAACGGAGTTGGGGTTGCCAGCCCAGAGAGGGCACAGGAATCCATAAAACCTTTAACTTGTTTGCTCTGACAGTGATCACAGCCACAGGACATAGGCAAGTCTGGATGTCCTGAGAATGTCTGTCCATGACGATCCCACACAGCCAGTCACTGGAACATCTCTGGCTGCACTTTCAGAAATACATTGTCTGGAGTTTGCTGCAGTCTCCAACACTCCGTTACTCATACTCAGTGTTTTTGTACTAATTATGGTTCCCACCTGGCGTTAATGCTGATAACACAACCTTGCTTGCTGAAAGTGAAGAGTTGAAGAACTTACTGATGAAGATCAAAGACCACAGTCTTCAGTATGGATTGCACCTCAACATAAAGAAAACAAAAATCTTCACAATTGGACCAATAAGCAACATCATGATAAACGAAGAAAAGATTGAAGTTGTCAAGGATTTCATTTTACTTAGATCCACAGTCAACACCCATGGAAGCAGCAGTCAAGAAATCAAGACACATTGCATTGGGCAAGTCTACTGCAAAAGACCTCTTAGAAGTGCTGACAAGCAAAGATGTCATCTTAAAGAGTAAGGTGCACCTGACCCAAGCCATGGTGTTTTCAATCGCCTTACATGCATGTGAAAGCTGGATGATGAATGAGGAAGAACTGATGCCTTTGAATTGTGGTGTTGGTGAAGAATATTGAATATACCATGTACTGCTAAAAGACCGAAAAACCTGTCTTGGAAGAAGTACAACCAGAAGGTTCCTCAGAAGCAAGGATGGCAGGACTAAGTCTCACATACTTTCGACATGTTATCAGCAGGGATCAGTCCCTGGAGAAGGACATCATGTTTGGCAGAGTGGACGGTCAGTGACAAAGAGGAAGACCCTCAATGAGATGGACTGACACATTGGCTGCAACAACAGGCTCAAGCGTAACGATTGTATGGCACAGGACCAGGCAGTGTTTCTTTCTGCTGTACATTGGGTCGCTATGAGTCGGAACCAACTTGATGGCACCTAACAACAACCTTGCCCCCATAGTCTTAAACCAGAAACACCTGCCTCCCAAATTCTGGACTTCAGAGCACAGGTCTCTTTTGTAGGACCTGGGGAAATGCTTCCCTTCCACAAGGAGGACAGACATCCCCTGGGGACAAGGGAACAAATTCATTCTGTTCCCAGAAGCACTGGAATTGTCACAACTCTCCTCCCCTCAAGGTGACGTCTAGTTTCACAAAAAAATTCAGGCATCCAGGTCACAAATTAGAATCAAAAATCCCCTGCACTCTTTCCTAGGAAGTTGTGGTCAGTAATATTAGTGCAAACCTGGAGGGGGAGCTACTCTGCCATCATACTGTCCCTGTTGAGGCACACAAAGTTGTGGGGCTCACAAAAGCTGTTTACCCCTTCACTGTAACACAGCCTGATTCTGTTTTGAACCAAACCCACACAGGGAACAGAATCTCCAAGTTTAAATAACTAGGATTAAATAACTAGGCCTTTATTATTACACAAACCAGAGGAATGTGAGGCATTGGTGACTTGTACTGAAAAAATTCAATCATGAGTGTCACTAGTCATGTAAGACCAACAATGTCAAGTGGCACATAAACCTTTTATGCCAGCTGCTAGCAGAACCCAAACCAGTTCTCTTGGCAGTAAGTGGGTCAGGTCCATGCCCAAAGCAGTCAGCGAAGTGAATAAAGTTCACCGGAGGGCTCAGACTACACGATTTTCTCCAGGGAATGGGTCTGCCTTGCCAGGGCATTCTGGGGCAACTGAGTCACATGGTGGGAACTTGCAAGATGGTAGACGTGACATGGCTTCTGCCACAGGAACTGACAGCAACAGAACTCTGGCAGGGTTCCTGGGAAGTGTATAATGTGCAATGTAGGTCATGAAAGCTTCGCACATGCCTGGAACACAGGGACTCTCCCCACTCTGGATGTTGCAAATGCAAGGTTCAACTTTAGGCAGATGGCTTCATAACAAAGTCTCTCTGGGGCTGTTATATGGAACAAAGAACTAGCACATTCCCTGCAGGTGCAAGAACTTTCCCGTGTGAATTTTCTTGTGCCCAATGATGCCAGACCTTGGGCTGAAGGTTTTCACATTTGCTGATCATATGAAACCATTCTCTGCTACAAAAATTTCAGTACTGAGGCTGGAGCCTTGGCTAATGGAATCCCAAATTCACACCTGTAAAGCCTTACTCCAGTGTGAACTCTCCGATGTTTAGTAAGGCCGGAATTTTGGCTAAAGGATTTCCCACATTCACTGCATGCATAAGGCCTTTCTCCAGTGTGAATTCTCTCGTGTACATTAAGGTGAGAGTGACTGCTAAAGAATTTCCCACATTCACTGCACTCATAAGGCTTTTCTCCAGTGTGGACTCTCTGCTGTTGAATGAGGCCAGAGCTTTGACTAAAAAGTTTCCCACATTTGTCACACTTGTAAGGTTTTGCTCCTATGTGACCCCTCTGGTGTTGAAAAAGCCCAGATCTTTAGTGAAAGGATTTCTCACATGCACTGCACTTAGAAGGCCTTTCTCCAGTGTGAGATCTCTGGTGTTGAGGGTGGAGCTACAGCTAATGGATTTGCCACATTCGCAGCACTCATAAGGCTTTTCTCCAGTGTGAACTCTGCAGTGTTGAATGAGGGTGGAACTCTCACTAAAGGTTCTCCTGCATTTGACACACTCATAAGGCTGTGCTCCTGTGTGACGTCTCTGGTGTTGAAGGAGGCTGGATTTTTGAATAAAGAATTTTCCACATTCACTGCACTCATAAGTCCTTCCTCCAGTGTGAATCCTCTGGTGTCTACTAAGAGAAGAGTGACGGCTAAAGATTTTCCGACACTCACAACACTGGTATCGCCTTTCTCTAGCGTGAATTCCCTGGCACTGAACAAGTCTGTATTTGCAGCTGACAGCTTTCCCATATTTGCTATCTTCACAAAGCCCCTCTCCAGCACAGATCCTCTGGTGGTGAACAAATGTGTGATTATTGCTGGAAGCTTTCTCACACTCATCCCACCTGTAATGACTCTTTCCACTGTGGAAGGTCTCACATATGCTGCTGCTGTGTGTCTTCTCACCGGTAGGTGTGGCCTGGTGCTGGAGACTACCTAGAGGGACAGGGGAGTCCTTCCCAAGCTCCCTACGAGTGAAGAGCTGCCTTGACATTTGGAATCTGCAGCTGTTCACACATAATGTCCCGTCCATGTTCCGTCTGAAGGGTTTTTCTCCACTGTGATGCTTCTGGTGCTGGGGAAGGCTTGCATTGAGCCAGGAGGTTCTCACACATGCCCCACCCAAGTACAGCTTCTGCCCAGGATTAGCTGTTTTGTGCTCAGTCACAATATCTTTCAAGGCAGGGACACATATCTCCTGGGGTGAGTCTTCTGGGTGGATGGACCTCCTGTGGAGTCCTGACCTGTAACACTCCTTCCAAAGAAACACTCTGCTCAGAAGACGCTTTTTCCTCCTCCACTCCATGCCAACAAGCTGAAAGCAGAGAAATGCTGTTAATGCAGGGTGACATCAGTGGGAGGGAAATCCCTATCACAAGCATGTTTCAGACGGAAAATAGGAAGAGTCCCTGGGATTGCTGTGAGGATGAGAGAGCTGGAGACAGGTTCAAGAGAGAGCTGTCTTGCAGTACTGGTTGTCTAACTATCACAGAGTGGGGAGGCCTGACCAGATGAGGGTCAGAAGGATGGGGTGCAGCTTGAAGAGGAGATGCCACATCTCCAATTCACTCCAGTTCCAAAGGCCTTCAGTAGGACATTGTCAGCTGTTAATGCATGTGCGATGAGCAGAAGGTTGGTTGTATCCAGGCCCAGGAAAATACAATTTGAACTGAGAAGTTGGTGTTAAAGGACTACTTAAGGATATGTGCAGATCTCACAGCACATTACATTTGGGTTTCTGCTGGGGACCATGCAGAGGGAGCAGTGGAGAAGAACAGGTGATGGGTGGAGGCCAGAAAATGGTGGCAGCCAGAGGCTGGAAGTCACAGCTGAAACGACAAATCAGCAAAGTGTCAAGTATGGGGAAGAAAAGATGGAAATGAGCTGTGGCCAGTAGCAGTTATGCCAAAACAGCAGCGGACACAGGACAGGTTTCTGGTATGATCTGATCATAGCCCTGCTGTTGTGCCCTTCCCTAGTTACGGGTCAGCAGGGCCAGGCCTCCTCTGAGACCATCTTGCCATGTCACCCTTTAGGCAACCAACACTCTACTAGCAACCCAATGCTACAACTACATGAATTCTGCACGACACAAGTCCTATGGAAAAGACAGGAGAGATGAGTAGCGAGCATTGGCCCAGAGCAGGTCAGCACACAACAGACCACAAGAGAAACAATTACAAAGAAAAAAAAACCTTGAAGAAGCATCTTGCAAGAAAAGCTCTAGAACCATATCAGCAGTGGCCATGACAATGTCTGCAACTCCTGGCACCATCAGGCAGGAGGAAATGTCAGCTAGGGGAAGGGGGCAGAACTTGGGGCACAGAGGTGGTGTGGATGTAGGCACATCACCCAGTCAGGGAGAGGGCAAGCAGGATGGGAGCCACTGGGATGACTGCAAGACTCCTGACTCCTAGACTCTTCCCTGCACACTCGGTTGGCAGGTGGTAGGGTTGCTCAGAGACTGCATTGCTCAAGGCATCGCACATGCCTCAACACTGGGTCCCACAGCATACGTACCAGGAAAGGGGAAGATCTCATCATCTGGCTGTGGAAGAACAGAGCTGTCTCTGGGGAAAAGAAGGAAGGCAGAAAGCAGCTCACAGGGGGTGGTGTGTGTGTGTGTGTGAGTGTGTGTGTCTTACCCAAGGATGATATGACTGCAAAGTTCTCCAGCTTCACATCACAGTAGAAGAGCTTCTGAGTCTCATCAAGGAGCCCCCACTCCTCCTGGGAGAAATCAATGGCCACGTCCTCAAAGTTGACACAGCCCTGTCAAGGTGGAGACAACAGTTCATTTCATGATTAGTTTCTCTCTTGGGATCCCACGTTCATCCCCCCACGTCCATTGCCTCTTACCCTCCTCTTCATCTTCCTACTGATGCCTACTCTCTCCTCCTGGTCCCACTGATCACTGTGTCAGCCCACAGCACCAAGAGGCAGGTGGGCAGACAGATGAAATCTGGGCCTGGCATGAAGGGCTACATGCGCACCCTACTGTCAGGCAGTTACCTGGGGTGTTCCAGATGGTGCCTCCCAGACACAACCAAATATGGGCTTACCCTTCATTCTTAGGTCCCCCAACATGGTCTTGGAGTCATGAGCTCACACTTGTTTCCACGTGCACATCTCTGTTCAACCCAAATTCTCTCCCACTCTGCACTCCAACATCCTCCTCCCCTCCTTGCTCCAGAACATTGGATCTCCATGGCCTCTATTACTGAGCACATGGTACATGAGCCCATGGCATCCAGAGAACACTAGTCAAATCCAAACAGGATCCAGAGCCACCAAAGACTTCCAGTGCTCTCCAATGTCAGTGCCAGCCCTGAGTCCTGCTATGAAGGCCTCCCTGCCTCAGTCAGTTCCTTCCCTTAAACTCAGGAGACCAGAAACCTCTCTGCCCCCACAGCTTGTGATTCACTGGCTGTCCCCTCACCAGTCACAGCCTTCCACTCTCCACCTAAGCCTCCTTCAAATCTAGGCCCCAGAGGCCCTCCATCACAGGACTAGTGACTCTCCCAAAGACCCCGTGTGCCCCTGAGCTCCTCTACCAGCCTAACTGAAACATCCCAGACCCCAACAAGATTTACCACAAAATCCTGGTGAGTCCACAGGGTGGAAACTATGTTCCAACCACAGCCTCACCTTGTCTCTATTACTCCTGTGCCTCCACGTCTGTCTCTTGTACTCACCCTTCAAAAGCCTTAGCCACCTGCCAGATCATCTTCTCTCCCACAACCTTCCCTGGGCCACTTCTCTCTATTATCTATGTTTGTGACCTACACTAATCTCATCAGGGGCCCAAACATGAGCTCCAGTCCTCATGCCTCCACCTTATCCTTCCTAGCTTGCTATTACCACTACCACCATGACCAGGGTTCCTACTATCAGATGTGACTCACAGCTCTACCCTGGTCCACACACTGTCTGCCACCTTTTGGAGATGTCTCCAACCTGAACCTCTCCTGATCCAGACCTGTATGTCCAGCTACTCACTGGATGCTTCCGTTCATTTGTTCTCTGAAACATCTCAGACTCTTAACATGGACACAACAAAACTCCTGAAATCCCAATCAAAATTACTTCTACTACCAACTCCGCCTAAGTCAATGGACCTTTCATCCTTCTAGCTGTTGAAAATAAAAACCCTGGAGTTATCCCTGACTCCTACTTTTCTATCTATCACACTCACCATCAAAAAATCAGAGCAGATCAACTTAAAAGACAGATCCGAAATCCAACCATTTCTACCACCCCCGCATCGGTCCAGCCACCATCAACACACACCCGGACTGATGCAGAAGCCTCCTCCAGGTCTTCCTACCACCCTTCTCACAACACCTGCAGTCTGGTCACCATGCTGCAGCCACCGGAGCCTGGTAAGACCTGGGTCCGATCACCTCCCTCCCCTGCTCCAAACTCCCACTGCTCATATCACCTGCAGATTAGACTCCCAACTTCTAAGGAGCCATTCCAAGCCTGACTGCTGCCCCCTGTGCTCTGTTCCCAAGAGAAAGAATGGAAACCCGAGGCTCCCTGACACCTCCACCTCAGCCTCGCCTCCAAACATTTGCATATATAGGTACCTATACCTGGGATGGAAACCCTGGTGGCATAGTGGTTAAGAGCTATGGCTGCTAACCAAAAGGTCAGCAGTTTGAATCCACCAGGTGCTCCTCGGGATCCCTATGGGGCAGTTCTACTCTGTCCTATAGGGTTGCTATGAGTTGGAATTGACTCAACAGTGGTGGGTATTTTTTGGTATGCCTGACACAGGAGCCCTAGTGGCACAGTGATTAAGCGCTCTGCTGCAAACTGAAAGGTCACCAGTTTGAGCCACCACGTGGGAGAAAGATGTGGCAGTCTGTTTCCATAAAGACTACAGCCTTGGAAACCCTATGGGGCAGTTTTACTCTGTCCTATGTCACCGCGAATCGGAATCAACTCCATGGCAATGGGTTTTTTGTTTTTTGGGTTTTTATTTTTTTTATGCTTGGGAAAACCTTCCAGACCTCATTCCATCGGTTGTCAAAAACGGAAACCACTCCATAAGAGCCCCTGGAATGAACTTAGTACCTTAAGCTTGAGGTGTGTTCACGGTCCCCAGGCTCAAAGGCTAGAAGAGTCCTAGGGGAAGTGTCAGAAAACCTAATATGGGTGGGGTAAGATCAGTGCCAAAGGTGCATCTGCAGCCATGGGACTCTGTAGGAAAAGGGAGGTGTGAGAAGTAGGCCACCATCGCAGGATTCCAGGGGTTCCAGCCTCCCTAACAGCTCAGGAACTAGGTGACCTCAGGATCACTTCGTTATCTCTAGTCCTCAGATTATCAGTTGCTCTTACAGGCTTAGTGACTAAGAAGAAGTATTCAATTTCCCTGTGATTCAGTTACCATCCTCCTTCCAGTTTGTTTTTCCTCTGAGCTACTTTTTTACCATCTCCCTCTTGTTCACAACCCTTCATGACTCCCAGCGTCCTCAGAATGAAGGCACAAACTCCTCAGCCTGCAATCCAGGCGCGATTTCTAACATTCCCTGTTCCTGCAGACGCACGACGATCCCCAGGTTTTCCTGTTGCTCCGGCTGTGTGGCATCTCCAGCCCTCACCTGCGGGTCCCTCTGCCGGGGGCTCTCTCTCCATCACGAACCCCCCTTGTGCAAGACCGGGGCTCGAAGATTGGGAGATGCGAGTGAGGGCGGGGAGGGCCTGGAGGACGCAGCACTTACCTCAGCCAGGTCTCTCAGCGCGGCGGCTGCCATGGAGCGGGAGGGCAGAGCAGGGCCGGGCTCTCCGGACACCCGGCGGGAATTCCGACGAGGCTCACTATTCCTGCCAGGATGCGGTCACCCCGGTCGGCGCCACGGCCAAGCCTCAGGCCCGCCTGTGTAACGGGGACCACGAGTTCTCTCGCACATCCTCGGTTAGATCACCACTGTGCCAACTCCGGGTTAGAAGCCCTGACTAGGCGACCAGCCCTCACAACTGCCAAAACGAAGGCCACAAGGAGGACGCCGGAAGTCCCGCCCCAGAGATGTACATGCGCATAATATCGTTTTCCTTGGGCTCCATTGGTTCAATGATGCTGCGACTAGTCGCAGAGCATTCTGGGCAATATAGTTACAGTATTTGCCTGGCCGCGGAAATAAGCATTCTCCACTGGACTGAAGTCCAGGAATAAATTAAAACGACACCGCAAGGGGTGCTGAAAATGGCGTGTCTTGTCTGCATGCAAGTGGGAGCGGCTTCGCTTCTTAATGAGCCCCAGGCAGATTATTGGGGTTTGTTGTCTGCAATTGATCACCAGTGTTTAGAGATTTTATTTGAGAGTCTGTGAACCTCACCATGTTCCCAGGGGCTAAAAATTATTATTTCAGATGTCCCCTAAGTCTGCCAATCCAAATGCATGTATTGTTCTATAAAACCCGTTGCCTTCGAGTAGATTCCAACTCCTGGAGAGCCTGTAGGACAGAGTAGAACTGCTGTAATCCAAGATTGTAATCTTTACAGAAGCAGACTGCCATATCTTTCTCCCACCGAGAGGCTGGCGGATTTGAAGCGGCAACCTTTAGGTTAGCAGCCGAGTGCTTAACCACTGCGCCACCACAAAAACTTTAAACATTCCGGTTTCATTTTCTCTTCTCACCCCTTGACTATCTTCCCATTCATATGCAATGCATTTGGGCTCTGGCTGAGTCTTAGTTATCTAGTGCTGCTGTAAGAGAAATAGCACAAGTGGGTGGCTTTAACAAACAGAAATTTATTTTCTCACAGTTAAGGACGCTAGAAGTCTGAATTTAGGGTGCTGCTATAGAGGAAAGTTTTCTCTTTGTCAGCTCTGGAGAAAGGTCTTGGTCTCTTTTGAGCTTCTGCTCTTGGGAGATCTTCATGTGGCTGGGCATCACTCTTCCCATCTCAGCTTCCTTGCTTGCTTGTTTATTCTATTTTATATCTCAAAAGAGATTGACTCAAAATACACTTTACTCTAATGCTGCATCATTAACATAACAAAGACAACCCATTCCCAAATAGGATTAAAACCATAAGCGTAGAGGTTAGGATTTAAAATACATATTTTTGGGGGACAGAATTCAATCCGTGACATTCTACACTTTGGACCCCCGAAATTTGTGTTCTTGCCACATGCAAAACACATTCACCCCATCACATCATCACAAAGGTCTTAAATCAACTCCAAGTCCAAAATCACATCTTCTGAGTCATCTGAATCATATATGGGTGAGATTTTAGGCATATTCCATCCTGGGGCAAAATTCCTCTTCATCAGTGAACCTGTGAAATACAAGTTACAATTTATTTGTTTCCAAAGTACAATGGTGAGACAGACACAAGACAAATAGTTCCATTATAAGCGGGAGAAACTGGAGGCAAAGAAGGGATAACAGACACCAAGCAAATCCAAAACCCAGCAGAAAAAAATTGCATTAGCTCTCAAGGCTTAAAAATACTGCTATGCTCTTTTTGGACCATCTGGACAATGGCCCCGCCCTCCAGACTCTGAGTGTTGGCCATGCCCTCTGTATTCTGGTTGGAGGTCCCTTGGCCCTGCAATTCAGCTTTGCCTTCCAGGCCCACTTGGACTGCAACTCTACACCCTTGGCTTTGGCCAGCCCCATTCTCCTAGTCCATCTGAGTGGACACCCCACTCCCTCTACCCCAGCAGGCCCCATTCTTCTGCCCCTTGGGCATGGCAGCCCCAGCCCCACAGCTTTGGGTAGTAGCCCCATCCCCTTGGCACTCCTGAACAGAGTTGGTGAACATCTAACTCTTTGAAACCTAGGAGGCTGTGGCCCCATCCTTTGAGATCCAGAAGACCATGGCCCCACACTTTGAAACCCACTCTGAAACCAAGAAGGCCCTATTTCTGTGCTCTTTCCAACAGTTCTGCTGATCTCTGAGCTTCTCCAGGGATGACCCTCTACTTTGCTTGGAGGACAACAGGTGCAATTTCTTTGGCCTGTTTCCTGCCTGTAGAATTCCAAAAGGCAGATAGTTTTCTTTCCTTTAATCCTATCTCTGACCCCTTCAGTCTAAGCTGATGGGTTTTCTGCTGTGGTAGTTGGTTAGATCCGTCAGTCACAGGCTTAATCTCTTTAACAAAAGATTGTGTAGCCACAGCCTTGGTGAACGTTCTAGGACACCTGTCCTTTGTTTGTACAACAGAATTTTCCACATCTTTAAATTTTATTTTTATTTTGTACAGTTCATTTTTAAGTCCATCTCTTTCTTCTCGAATTTTACTATAAGCAGCAGGAAGAAACCATGTAGCCCCTTTAATATCTTGCTTAGAAATCCCATTGGCCAGATATCCAAGTTCATCACTTACAAGTTCCACCTTCCACCAAACATTTGAACACAATTCAGAAAAGTTCTTTGCCACTGCATAAAAAGCATTGCCCTTCCTCCATTGTCCAATCATGTGTTCCCCATTTTCTTCTAAAGTCTCATCAGAAGCACACTTAACATCCACATTTCTAGCAACATTCTGTTGCTAGTGCCATATGTATTCTCTAAGATGGTAGAGACTTTCTCTATAGCTCTCCTCACTTCCTTCTGAACCCTCACCAGAATTATCTTTGACATCCGTAATTTTACCAACAGTCTCTTCAAGGAAATCTAAGCTTTCACTATTAGGAAACTTAAGACTCCTCCAGCCTCCATCGATTACCCAATTTCAAAACTGCTTCCACACTTTAGGTATCTGTAAGAGCAGCATCCCACTCTTCTGGTACCAAATTCTGTCTTGGTTATCTAGTGCTGCTATAACAGAAATACCACAAGTGATTGGCTTCAACAGACAGAAATTTATTTTCTCACAGTTTAGGAGGCTAGAAGTCCAAATTCAAGCTGCCAGCTCCAGGGGAAGGCTTTCTCTTTGTCAGCTCCAGAGAAAGTTCCATGTCTCTTCAGAGTTTTTACTCCTGGGCAATCTTCTTGAGGCTTGGCATCTCTTTCCCCATTTTTGCTTCCTTGCTTACTCGTTTAATCTCTTCTATATCTCAAGAGATTGACTCAAGATACATCCTACACTAATCCTGCCTCATTAACATAACAAAGACAACCCATTTCCAAATGGGATTATAACCACAGACATAGAAGTTAGGATTTACAACACATATTTTTGGGGGACACAATTTAATCTCTAATATCCCCTATCAAGCATCTTGCTTAACCGGCCGGGCTTTTGCCCCAAGCCACACACAAGATGAGCTTGTACTGAGGGGATTGATAGGAGCTTGTCATTCAGGGGGCCAAGAGGAGCCCTGCACAGCCAAGAGGAGGTAAGAGTCCTGTCCTGCACTGAAGAAAGGAGACTTTGCCTAAATGCTTTATTGTTTCATAAAACCAAAACCAAACCTGTTGCCATCAAGTCGATTCTGCCTCATAACGATCCTATAGGACAGAGTAGAACTGCCCCCATAGGGTTTCCGAAGAGCAGCTGGTAGATTCGAACTGCTAACCTTTTGGTTAGCAGCCATAGCTCTTAACCACTGCTCCACCAGGGATCCTTTATTGTTCCATAGAGTTATTCAAATATAAAATGCAGCTTGGAGCTGGAAACTAATAAACATTATCTTATTGTTGTTCAAATGCGTGTATGAATTGTATAAGAAACGAGATGGGTGATATCACAACAGACCCAACTGAAATTAAAAGAATCATAACAGAATATTATGAAAAATTGTACTCTAACAAATTTGAAAACCTAGAGGAAATGGACAAATTTTGAGAAACCCACTACCTACCTAAACTAACACAAAGAGAAGTAGAACAACTAAATAAACCTATAACAAAAGAAGGTATTGAAAAGGCAATTGAAAAACTCCCTACCAAAAAAAGCCCTGGCCCGGATGGTTTCACTGGAGAATTCTACCAAACTTTCAGAGAAGACTTAACATCACTACTACTAAAGGTATTTCAGAGCATAGAAACAGATGGAATACTCCCAAACTCATTCTATGAAGCCAGCATAACCTTGATACCAAAACCAAGTAAAATTCCACAAAAAAAGAAAACTACAGACAAATATCTCTCATGAACATTGATGCAAAAACCCTCAACAAAATTCTAGCCAATAGAATTCAGTAACATATCAAGAAAATAATTCACCGTGATCAAGCGGGGTTTATACCAGGTATGCAGGTTTTCAACATTAGAAAAACAATCAATGTGATACATCACATTAATAAAACAAAAGACTAGAACCACATGATCTCATCAATCGATGCAAAAAAGCATTTGACAAAGTCCAACACCCATTCATAATAAAAACTCTCAACAAAATAGGAATAGAAGGGAAATTCCTCAATATAATTAAGGGCACTTATACAAAGCCAAGCCAACATCAACCTAAATGTAGAGAGTTTGAAAGCATTCCCCTTAAGAACGGGAACCAGACAATGATATCCTTTATCAACTCTCTTAATTCAGCGTTGTGCTGGAGGTCCTAGCCAGAGAAATTAGTCTAGAAAAAGAAATAAAGGGCATCCAAATTGGTAGGAAAGAAGTCAAAGTATCTCATTTGCAGAAGATACGATCTTATACACAGAAAACCCCAAAGAATCCACAAGACAGCTACTGGAACTAATAGAAGGTTTCCGCGAAGTATCAGGATACAAGATAAACATACAAAAATCAGTTGGATACCTCTACACCTACAAAGAGAACTCGAAGAGGAAATCACCAAATCAATACAGTTTATAATAGCCCCCAAGAAGATAAAATATTTAGGAATAAATCTAACAGAGATGTAAAAGACCTATAAAATGAAAACTACAAGGCACTACTGCAGCAAACTAAAAGAGACCTGCATAAGTGGAAAAACATACCTTGCTCATGGTTAGGAAGACCCAACATTGTGAAAACGTCAATTCTACACAAAGCGATCTACAGATACAATGCAATCCTGATCCAAATTCCAATGGCATTTTTTAATGAGATGGAGAAACAAATCACCAACTTCATATGGAAAGGGGAGAGGCCCCAGATAAGCAAAGCATTACTCAAGAAGAAGAACAAAGGAGAAGTCCTCATACTACCTGATTTTAGAATCTATTATACTGCCACGATAGTCAAAACAGCCTGGTACTGGTACAGCAACAGATATATAGACCAGTGGAACAGAATTGAGAATCCAGACGTAAATTCATCCACCTATGAACAGCTGATACTTTACAAAGGCCCAAAGTCCATTACTTGGGGGGAAAAGACAGTCTCTTTAATAAATGGTGCCAGAATAACTGGATATCCATCTACAAAAAATTGAAACAAGACCCATACCTCACACCATGCACAAAAACTAACTCAAAATGGATCAAAGACCTAAATATAAAATGGAAAATGATAAAGATAATGGAAGAAAAAATAGGGACAACACTAGGAGCCTTAATACATGGCATAAACAGAAT